GGTAGCTCGGGCAGTTGCCAAAAGCTGGTGTGTCGTTATCCCGTGTTTCATATATGGGAAAAGAATTACTCCCGACATTGGGGTATTGATATCCTAATTAATGCATGAATTTATTTTTTTTCAAAAGAAAAAAAAGAGGAAAACCGATGAAAAAAAAAAAAAAAGCAAGCTAGTTATGCATTTCTTCAAGAAAGCAAAATCGTAATTTTCCGTTATGGTACGGGGCAAACCATTAGAGATCCGACCCGGCAGGAAGTTGTTTATATGACCAATCAATCGATAAATTAAGCCAGGAGAAGAAAAACGCATTATCCATATGGATTATTGGATATCCTCTTATGCTATTCTCCTATTCTCGCTAGCCAAGCAAATTTGAAAGGAAATTACATCATTCTCCCGGGAAAATGACACTTTCTTCTCTAATCTCTCTCTGATCTTGCCTCTAAAACCCTTGATCCCAGCCAAACTAACTTCCCCATGGCATTTCTCATCTCTTCGCCCGAAGTTTCCGCTGTCTCCTTGAAGATTTTACCTAGTCCTAAACCTAAATGTTTAGCGAGCCTCTCTGTCTCGGGCAGTAATGAGAAAATTGGAACTAGGGCTAGGATTCGGGTTGGGGCTGATGTTGGTGTTAGAGACTGCAAGGTTAGGGTTGCGGGACTAGATCAAAAAGCAAAGGTGTATGGTCATTATACCGCTTCGGTGAAACGAGGATTGAAGCAGAACAAAGAGGAAGAGGAGAAGCAGAATTACTACGTTAACATGGGCTATGCAATTCGGGCTTTGAGAGAAGATTTTCCGGAGCTCTTCTATAGGGAGCTCAGATTCGATATCTACAGGTTTGTTTGTATTTTTTTTTTCTTTTATCTCGCCTGCTTTCTTATTTCGTTTATTCTCTGTTCGGTTACCGAGCAATGGACTCAAAGGAAAAAAATTTAATATGGTTCTTCAAAGTTTCATGTTGTTTTAGCTCGAAATTGAAATTTTATGTAATTACACCAAATGATCGCATTCAGATAAGTTTAAAATCAAGTATGTTTATTTCTTTCCTAGAATTAGCTTTAGATTTTTGTTGTGTAACAAGCTGTTCATGCTTTCGCTTTCTTTATTTCTTTGAAGACTTGTCATGTTATGTGAATCATACTTGATGACTTTTGGACGAAGGAGCTAAATGTATATGATATATGCCCCTCTACCTTGCTTCTGAATGTGAATTATATTGATGAGTTTGATGTAGTTAGGGATGAATCAAAACTTACCTCAGAAGCCACATCATGGTTTCTCCTTTTGGTGATGACTATGCTTGATAGGTTTGCCTACTGATATTTAGTTACTTACGATTAGCTGTAACTATTTTATCTTCATCTTGATATCGGACAAATAGGGTTGTTTTGTCCAATTAAGGATTTAGGGATAAAACCCTAAACATTACACCTAGAGTTTCTTAGATATTACTTGTAATAAATATCATAACTAAGAGTTTGATTACATCACATAACTAGAAAATGAGAAACTCTAAAAGATATTATTGAATAACAGAATGCTTCAATAAGTGAAACTAAATTTTTTTTTATTATAATGTATAAACAATCTTTCATAAATATAAGTCAAATAAGAAATAGTAAACTAATAGAGTTAGGAATAATAATCCACGAGTTTGAAGTGACAAATGATTTAAAACCTTGACTTTCAAGCTCTTCTAAGAAAACTTAGCAACTTTTGTGTTTGGTGGTTCTCGCCAATACCTAAAATAGTATACGTGGAGAATTATTTAGGAGTGTTAAATCTTGGTGCGAGGATGAAATCAACATGTTGAGCAATTGGTATGCGACTCTAGGGGAAAGATACAAGCAATAGGAAGACTAAATGGTTCTTTTTGCCTATCCATAGAGTTGACTCTTGGGGAAAGATCTTGAGCAATAGGAAGACATAGTGAATTTTCTTGCTCTTCCACTTTGGAGTTTGATGATTTGCACCTTAACAAAATAGAGATACTCACTTGTTTACTAGGACCTAAATCATCATTGTCATAGGATACATTACCATCATCTCTTTCTTGTACCTTCTTTTTTTTTAAAAATTCTAATATGCAAGTTATTCTTCGTTGGGCCTTCTTAACTCATGTGCCCACTTTGTCCACACCTAAAGCACACAACTTCCTTACCTTTAGGAGTTTTGAAATTTGATGTTGATCCATTCTTCAGCTCACATTTTGATTCAATTTATATCTTTAGGAGTGGGTTTCCCAATGTTTCTTGGAATTAGGGATTTCCCAAATATTCTTCCACATCAAATTTGGTAAGTTTGTGCTATAGTTGCAGGAGGTTGTTGAATTAACACTTTTTTAATATCAACTTTTAGTCTTGGCTTGAATTAAGATGTTATTTGACTATAATCTTCAACTAGTTGACTCCGAATCTTTAATTCTTCAAACTTCCGTGTGTACTTAGACTAAAATATAAACTTGGTCACAAAGTTTATCAAATTAGTTGGGAGGTAGAAACTTTTCACAAAGAATAGTTTTCATCTTATCCCATGTTTCAGTTGTTGGTTGTCTCTTTTTTGTCATATATTCATCAATAGTGTACCACCATATTTTTGCAAGCCCAACAAACTTCATCTTGGCAAATCGAACTCTTTGTTCATCTGACATGTCATACCAGTTGAAGTACTCTCCATTGAATTAAGCTAATCAAGAAAGAAAGTGAAGTCTCCTCTTCCATCAAAATCAGGAGCTTCTACCTTTATCCTCTTTGTAATATCTTCAGCATTATCCTTTAATGGGTCCTCTGTTGGACAACTTGTTCACTTTTACATTTTGAATTG